TAATGTAAAGATAAAATTTGAGAACACAAGCTATTTTAAGATAGGTACTTTTGGAATTATTCTAGTGGAAGGTACTACGATTGGTTCTTAGAGTCTCCAATTATGGTTCAGCTCAGGTCCTTCATACTTACTTCTGCTATAGTTCATACCCTTCCCAGAGTAGAAACTTGTGCAATGGTATCAATAATGTGTCTAGATCTCAAGGCTAATTAAATGGTAAGCAAACAATGTTTCTCAGTTTTGATGAAAAGAGATATAGAGGATAAAACTAAACACTTGTTACAAAGTTCTAAGTGATGCCTATAATTGGTGGTTAACTTAATGAAAGGACAGCTTCAGGATATTGGAGATTTCTAAGCCTTCTTACCCATTCTGTACTCCCAAGTATCTGCAACACATAGACATAGATGCACACAAAGACACACTTTCCCAAACATCTAGTATATTCTAGATACATAAGTGTACTTACAGCATGATGTACTTACCTCCATCATAGCTCTTAACAAATTATATTGAAATGACATTCTCTGTGACTCTAAGATGTTCAAGGGCAGTGACCACATCTCTCTCATCTTTCCTCAAGCACATAAGATAAATCCTGGCACCGCATAAGTGTTCAATACATGTTTTTTGAGCTGATTTGACCTGAACCAAAGTTTCAGAAGACAGAGAGCCAAATATGAGTCAGAAATGAGTATGATTTGTGACCCATCAGATGGTAGGAGCTCTCAGTGACCCTAAAAGTACAATATTAGAAGGTTACACCCCAGACCTCTCCCAATTTGTTTTTAAAAGCATGTTATTCTCCCATGTAAATGTGGAGGAAAAAGTGCTTCCACAGGCAACCTGACCTTGAGGGTTAGGAAGCATCTGTAAGAAAATCATGTCTACTTTTAATCTTTTCTCATGTTATTCTGCTTTTTCTCCAGATTTAACATCAACTTATAAGTTCACTTCTCTAAAAATGACATATATTACTGGATGTGGAATAAGATAATAGGATTACAGAGCCATGCACTGTCTAAACAGACATTTCTCTTAGGAAGAGGATACTGAGGAAATCCACAGTAACCAAGAGAAAATACTAAATTTATTTTCTGATTCCAAGATCTATCATCCTCAAAATCACCTATTCTGTACCCTCCATACCCACTTACTGTCTCCCACGCCCAATTCACAGAGGTATAAGAATCTCCACAGAGGATAAATACTGACTCCATGGAAGCAAAGCTATGTATTCATCAGGTGAGAACCATGATTCTTCTTCACAGGTAATTCAACATTGTAATTATGGTTTGATAAGGTAGATCCATTATGGAAAAAAACCCTTGGCTAGATATATTGTAGGAGATTTTGCCCTAAGAATCAGATTGGACAAAATTAGCTGAATTAAAAAATCAAATCTGTGAAGGGATTGAAACCATTTTCACTGCCCATATATGCCAGGTTATCCCCCTTTGTTCAACTCATGCTTTCCCTTTCCCTCCCTCTAATAATCTTACCAACATTTTCCCATCTGGTGGAGAAAAAAGATCAAATTAGAATGTCAAAATCAGTAAAGACAACTCACTGTTGAGGGGGAAACTGCTGCAGGCGCATTGGCTACAGAATGGGCCGAGTGGTGAGTGACAGCACCTTGTCATAAAGTTAGAGAGCTCCGTAGCATCAAGGACAAGGCAGGAAGGGAAAGCCCCACATCTCCCAGGAAGGGGAAGCCCCACGTCTCCCATGTCCTCCTCTTCATCCAGAGTTCTTATCTTCGACTTCAGGGCAGACTGTGCAAACAGGAGTTCCATTTAAATGAGGTGAACAGACAGATACATGAGCAGTCTCTGGAGCAGCTGAGGTGCTCAGGAGAATTCTGAACCATTAGGGTAGATCCTAAGCTGCATTTCCCCTCAGAAGCTTCCCAAATGATTATCAGGAAGACGGAAAATAACACGTAGTTAGCACTTACATCTGTGTTTATGGGAGAATGCAGATGCAAAAATCCTCAAAAAAAAATGAGCTAATTGAATGCAAAAGTGTATTTAAAAATAACACAGCATGATTAAATATTATTTATCTCAGGGATGCAAATATGTTTCAATATCAGAAACCCTACAAAGAAATTCACAAATTATTACACTGAAAGGTAAAATCAGATAATGATCTCAGCAATGTAGGAAAAACATGTGTTAAAGAAAAACACACATTTATTACTTTTTAGTCTTTGTAAACCAGGAGTAAGATAAAGGTTCTTTTACCTGGTTGGTTATGCACTAAACCCCAACAACACACCTTATATTTAATAGAGAAATTTTAGGTGTAGTCTCTAAGATCAGGAACAAGACAAGGATACTGCTACCACCATTACTGTTTAATATAATACTGAGAGTCACTAAGAACACCACGAAGAAAGAAAAAGATATAAAGTCTAAGAATTGGAAGAAAAGTAATAAAAGTGTACTGTTTGCTGATTAGAAAATTTTTTCAATGAACAAACTGTTAGAAGTAGTAAAAAAATATTTGTAAGTTTCCTGTATCAGAGCTCAACCTAAAAAAAAACAAAAAAAAACGATTTTTCTCTACCTCTCTACCAGCAATAATCAACTGGAAAATATAACTTTAAAATAGGATACAATTTTACAATAGCAACAGAAATTATAAAGTATGCAGAAAAAAAGCAAGAATACATGAGATCTCCTGGCGGGGGAGGGGGGGGAATTAGTTCTAGTAAAGTAAATGATTTAAATATTAAATGGAGAGATATTTCATCTCTTGAATCAGATGACTTTAATATTATAAAGATATCATTTGTCTCCAAATTGATATATAAATTTAAGGTAATAACAATAACAATTCCATGGAGATTTTTTGAGTAGCTCAAGAGATTTACTCTTAAATTTATGTGGAGAAATAACAATCCACAATTAGTGAGAATATTGAAAGGAATGATGTAGGAATGTCCTTCCAGATATTAAGACATATTGCCAAGCCACAAAAATAAAAACCAGGTGGTACTGTTAAAAGACCAATAAACAAATGGAACAGAATTGAGAGCTCACAGCTAGACCCACGTGGTAATTTAATGTACAACAAAGTTAATTCCAAAAACCATTAGGGAGAGGACAAATATTTCAGTAAATAGTATTGGTAAAATTAGTTTACTACAATCAGAAAAATAAAACTGGATTCCTACCTAACATGATACCAGATAGTAGTCTCTATATGGATTAAATAACTGAAAGTTAAAATAGAACAATGGCATTATAGAAGAAAACATAGGAGTACATCTTTCTGACCTAGAGTAAGGAAATTCCAAAACATAAACCATAATGAAAAATTTGATGAATTTGACTTATCAGAATTGGGATTTGTCTTTAATAAACACTAAGAACAAAGATAAAAGATAGATGAGAAAATGAATGAGATGTTTGCACTATCTAAAACCAATAAGAAATAAGAATTCAGGGATGGTCGGTTAGCTCAGGTGGTTGGAGAGCAGGGTTTAGTGCTCATAACACCAGGGTTGCCGGTTCATGCACATGGGCCATGAGCTGCGCCCTCCACAACTGGATTGAAACAACTACTTTACTTGGAGCTGATGGATCCTGGTAAAACACACTGTTCCCCAATGAAAAATGTCTTTAAAAGAAAAGAAAAGAAATAAGAATTTACTGTCAGGAATTTACAGTAAACTCTAAAAATCAACAAGGGAAAAAACCTACCCCCCCCACACACACACAGACACACACACAAAGAAAAAAAGAGCAGAGGATATATAAATAGGAATTCATTAAAAAGTAATTTCAAAAGGCTACAAAAATATAAAGCAATACTCAAAATCAAAGGTATACAACAAAGAGATATTTATTTACCTGTATTAGACATGCAGAAATTACAAAGTCAGATAGACTGGGCTGAAAGTCAGAATAGAAAGGGCTGGCAAAACAGTAGAAAATAGAGGAACATTTATTCACAATTGGGAAGAATAGAGAGAGGGACAGTCCTTCTGGGAAGGAATCCAGTATTACTTGGTCATCTTAAGCTTATGCACATTTTATGATGTAGCAATTATTGAGCCAAAACATCCTCACACAGACTCATTCCTGGCATATTTGTGATTCTGTTATTTGTGTTGATGAAACTTTGTGTAATTTGCATATCACTCCCTGGGAGAGGAGATAAATGAAAATGCGATGGATGAACACCAAGGATATTCCACAGCAGTCAGATGACGAAAGAGATTGGATGTCTATGTGGAAACATGAATGATCTTAAAGACTTAAGAGCTGAGTGAGAAAAGAAACAGAGACATATACCACAATATCATTTATATAAATTAAAAATACATTCACAAACAGAAAATCATTTTGTGAGAACAAAAAAATATATTGCATACACTAGAATGGTTACAAGGTCAATGGAAATGAGGTATGGTTATATATTAAGCAAATAATAAATAAATGTATAAATAAACAAACAAGAGAGGGGCTTTGAAATCATTGATCATACTAATATGTCATACCCTGAGGAATATAATTAATTCAGTTTTCCACACTTGAGAATCAAACAAACAACAGGATGAGTTGATTGCATGGTACTTGTACAGAAATAGAAAAAACAGAAAAGGAACAGACTAGTGAGCATAAAAATGGACCAAATCTAGTAGGAGTTTACTTTTTATTTTTAAATTAAATTTATTGGGGGTAACATTGGTTAACATTATATAAATTTCAGTTATACAATTTTATAATACATCATCTGTACATCCCATGTGTGTGTACCACCCAAAGTCCAGTTCCCTCTCTTCACCATATATTTGACCCCTTTGCCGGCCTCTCGCCACCCTCGTCCCCTCTAGTAACCACTATACTGTTGTCGACATCTATGAGTTTTTCTGTTTTTTTTGTTTGTTGCTTTTTGTTTTATGTCCCACATAAGAATGAAATCATATGCTTCTTATCCTCCTCTGACTTATTTCTCTTAGCAAGATCCTCTCAAGATCCACCCGCTTTGTCGCCAATGGCAATATATATAGTTTTCCTGGATGGGATGGGGGAAGCCACAGAAATTTGACACGCCGTTCTCCCACCCACCGGAAGCTAGGCATGCATCCATTCATTCGCTGTCCTAGGCGAGTCTACGGAGTGGGCAGGGCCTGGAGAAAGGGGCGGGACTGGGAAAAGCCCCCTTTACAGAACCGGGGCCTCGGAGGCTTCTGGGGCGTCTTTCCACGGCTGGAGCGCGAGCGCAGGAGGGTGCCGAGGCGCGCCTTGGGTTCTGTAAGCCTCAGAGCTCGCAGCGGCGCGTGGGGTCCGGGTGTGGCTAGGCCTTTCCGGTTGTGGCGTCACGCCAGCTCCCTTCGCCAGCCAGAACGGTGACTTCGGCGGCTCCTCGCGGAACTGGCGCCTGGCGTGATTGAACGGAGCCCTGGCTGGGAGCCGTGCTCGGAGGTATCACTCGGGTCCGCGGGCGGTGAGGAGTGGGTGCGTGCAATTGGGGAGTCCTGCTTCAGGGCGTCCACGCGAAACACGCGCTGTGGTCTCGTTCGCTGCGCTCCCCCGGCTGCGGGAGAAGCCGGAGGAGGGCGCGAGCTGACAGGGATGGAGGCGAGGGCTGCGGAAGGAAGTCGATATTTGAGAGAGCAGAGATAAGGGAGCTAGAGGTGGAAAATAGGACGGCTGGGTTCCAGATTCAGTTCTGCTAAACCAGGAATTTCACGTCGCTGCTCTTTCTTCCATTCCGTAATAGGGCAACCCCCAGGCGCTTAACCTTGATCAGCTGGTTTTGGGTTGCCTGGTATTGGGCGTTGATTCCTCAGGGAAAGACCAAGTGTGACGGGATCAATTAACTGGAAAAGAAAATGGAGAAAAAGGTTCATTGCATCTTGCCTTTCTTTCCCAATCATTCCTGGCCACTCCCCCAAAACTTGAAAACCTCCAGGCACCTTTATTTTAGACACTCGTTTGCAAACTCTTTAGCTGAGCTAATCGCAGAAGGCTCTCCTTACCTCAAGCTACTGCCCTACCTATGACCTAGTCGATTAAAAACAAGGCTCTTCACAGATAACTACCTTTCCCCCATAATTAGCACCTGTTAGGTTTCTTGAAGCTGTAAAATTCTTTGAGATTGTCTCACCTGGTTATTTAATCAAATTCTCCAGATTCCTGTCACCTGAGCTTTACTGAGCCTTCCCCCAGGACATAATTCTGAATCCCACCATCATCCCCAAAATCGTCTATTCAGTACGTTAGAGTTTAAACAGTTCTTGACTTTGTTTATTCCAGCATTCATCACTTACAGACCACTTAAGGTACTGGCAGTCCCGGCCATACCTTGGCCCTTCTATCACCTAGCCAGCGGTTCTCAACCTTCCTAACCCCTTAATACAGTTCCTCATGTTGTGGTGACCCCCAACCATAAAATTATTTTCGTTGCTACTCTATAACTGTAATTTTGCTACTGTTATGAA